TAACTTCTAATTTCGCTCTACTCCTTCCCCACTATATGCGACGGACCTTCCATTTCATTTTTCAAGCCATTCCTGTAATATTCCCAGTAAAGCTCTTTCAATTTTAGATGAGTTGTATTCCTTTTCCTATACCTCTTCCGTTGCCACCTGTGCCTCCGGTTCTGCCTCAAACCGCAGACAAAAAGGTTTGTTTTGATAATGATACTTTAAAAACGAGAATCTTGTTGGAATCAAGATGTATTACATATTTTTTGCGTCTCATCAAATGGAAAGTTTACAATGAGTCAACAATTCCAAAAGAAAAACAATTACCTATAATAGGTACATTTATTGAATGCAAATATTAGTTTAGTTAATATGTGAGTTAACGGAATTAATTGTGATGTAATGAATTCCTACGCTGACACTGCTTTTGCTTACGACTTGAATATGGCATTTGAATAGGACTTCCCTAATAGAGCATGCAACGTCCGGTGACTTCTTCCGATTTGAACATGGGTTTTTATGTTTTTTTCCATCCAGAAGGGACGGGAGGGTGTATTCGGGAAATGCACCATGAAAGCCCATGTTACGGACGGTTTAACTATTTTCCATAAACTTCAAGTGCAGTACAAGGCTGATTTTGATATTTGCAAGAGGACGTGGATCTTGATACAAAAACTTTCTCACAGTAGTATATTAAAAAATGTATAATATGAGAAAATACAATAATATAAAGATAAGAATGAAAAACTAGTAAATGAAATGCAGATTCTGTTGATGAAATACATCTAATGAGAAAACAAAAGAAAACTTGCAATTAAAAGACCATTGCCATTTCAGGATGAAAGCGATTCTATGCATCAGCTAGCTCTGAATTTCTTTTTTATTTTTTTACTTTATTGGATTTGCTTTATAGAAAGATTTTAATGAAAGGAAATTTTCCTATTTATTTATTAAAAACGAAGTTCTGCTCATTTAAAAACGGGTTACGTATGTTTAACTTCCTGTGGTTCAGTTCACACTTCAAAACCTACCATGTGCTTGTATGTACTCAATCACACAACTACTAATTTGTCCTTGTGTAGAAGGGTAGATTACCCGTCTGGCAGTAGGTATCACCATGGAGACAATCATATCTCGTTATATATGTCGTGCCTTTACATTGCTTATTGTCTTTCGTAGAAGCTCGTCGAATTTCACTCGAGCTCAGACTGCTATACTTCTATCCCCTTATCGCAAAGGTTAAAAATTATCGGAATTACCATTAAGAGTTTGTAATATATTTCTCGATATAAAATTTGAGTAGATAGTTGGTAAGTCGGCTAATTTCATGTCAGCTTCGACTACATAAAAAAGTACCTTCGTAATTTCTGCACAACTCTGCGTAGTTTTGATTATTATTGATTGAAATCCGATGTCTAAAACAAAAAAAAAAATTAGAAGAAGTAGAGCAAAAATACTTAAAATAATATTTTTCGATTTTTTAATCGGTCATTCTCAGAT